TGGAAATTCCAGAGCTGACACATAGATAAAGGAATTCAGTAAATATAGGAGATAAATTATGCATTTGTAGACTGGATTGACTGAATTGATACTGACAGCTTTGGATTGTATTCTCTTTTCACTGGTGGGTGTAACAGAATCAGCACAGTCAAGACATACAAAATGGCATTAGTTACAGTTACAGTACAGTCTGTATCAATTATTTTTCTTTTTTCAATTCAGCCTCTATCAGTTGAGGTGCTAAAGAATCAGCCTTGTAATACTCTAGTAAACATTGTTTGAGGTAGACATGTGCTTCCTCCACACACAGTAAGGCCACGGGTCTACAATGCAAGATCTGCATTTTCAAAATGTGTCCTGATTTTGTATCCCACACTGGATGGCATACAGTGGTTTTGTAGCCAGACCATCCAACTGGCACTAATCCACAGATACAAATTTGAAAGGCAATATCAGACAGATTCTCAGTATCATGCAGAGAAAACTGTGAGAACTTTGTTCACTCTCTCACATTACTCTCCCCTCTAAGTTTACGAATCTACTATTTTAAAAAGAAACCCACCAGCCAACAATACTCTATAAAAACTGCAGTACTTTCACATCTAATTCTTTAAAAGGCAAACTTGCTGGAAAGACTTTGAATAAAACTTACAATGATGGGAAGCATGACAGAAGACAGAATGTTGCCTGAAACCACAGGTTAATAAAATATACCACTGGTGAAATGGAGACATTGTTAGTGTCTGTGGTCCTACAGTCCTACAGTCAAATAAGATGAAAAGAAGAATATACTTACATGAGGGTTGCATGGGGTAACAGAAATTTACCTGTAGGCTGTTAAGCATAATTTTATATTAACAAACACCAAAACAAATTTCCTGAATCATGAATTTTTTACATTTATAGCTGAAATTTGGAAGTGTTAACTTTTACCTCACAAGGCTGCTATTGCCTGTGTTATCCCACTTTATGTTAGGAGGCCTCCTTCTCATACTTTTTGGGTTGTGTTTAAAAACAACATTGACACCTTTACCTTGATAGCTAATCTTCTGCCATCACCATGCTATCCAGCTGTCTAGGGACTCCCCTCCTTTGAGGGAGTAGCTACCTCCCCGAGCTACTGCTGTGACGCTACATAAACAGTCATTTATCTCCAGAGGTTCAACCTCCCAATCTATCCATGGCTATTCTTTCCACTACCAATACTTTAGGTCACATTATTTTAGCTCTGTCCCATTCAGGGCAAACTGGGGGTAATCAATTCCTTTATGGAACAAATGTAGGAATTTTGGTTTTTAAAAGACCTAGAGTGAAATTCATGCCACTTGTACAGCTATAGTTCTCACCTGTCTCTTAAGGATGATGCTACCTCTGTTATTGATTTCTCTTTTGCCATACACTTTGTATTCCAGAACTAATTTAATTTAATAGAAGACTCTACTACTAAGCAAATTGACAGAAGACTCATTGAAAAGAAAATGTGCATCATTCTCAAAAGTGTCATGAACCATCTATCCAAGTTTGAGTACTTCATTTAATTGATTCTGTTACTAGCAGTTCTGTTCTGCACTATGTGTGTAGACCTACCTTCAAATAAAGCAAGTACCTGATACAGATTTTGGAAAGGATGGGCTGCCTCAAACAATTCTTTCAAGCTCATAGCAAACCAATCTAGATATTTTGAGGCAAGAATGGAGTAAGCAAGCTAGAGCGCTGGAGAGTCTTATTGAAAAAGTAGCTTTATTTTTAAAAGGCAGATGGAAACTGAAAGTTTGGACATCACTCCTGGTCATAGGATCATGACAACCTTTCCTGCCATGTGTCCACATTGAATTTACTGTCCAGCCTGGCAATGTGCCCTGAAATCCACTTGATTGTATGATGACCTAATTCAAGTTTCCCACAGATATTTTGGTGAACTTTCATTTACTAAAAGTCTCATTAGGGAAGATAAGTGTTGCAGTGACCAGAAACCTGTGGGTCCTAGGACAGGGCAGCCATGGGTGTGTTTACAGATTGGGGAACAAGAGGCTGGAAAGCAGTCCTGTGGAAAGGGACCTGGGGCCCTGGTCGATGGAAAGTTGAAATCTGACTTAGCGATGCCCTGGCAGCCAGGAGGGCCAGCCCTGTCCTGGAGGGCATCAGGCCGAGCATCACAGCGGGCAGGGGAGGGGATTGTCCTGCTCTGCTCTGAGCTGGGGCGGCCTTGCCTCCAGTGCTGCAGGCAGTTCTGGGTGCCAATGTAAGAAGGGTATGAACCTGTGAGAGAGCTTCCAGGGGAGGTTAATGAAGATGGTGAAGGGCCTTGAGGGGAAGCCATATAAGGAATGGCTGAGGTCACTTGGTCTGTTCAGCCTGGAGAAGACTGAGGGGAGTTTTCCAACAAGTGGATATGCAGGGGAAGGAACCAGTCTCTTCTCTGTGGTGTCCAGGGACAGGACTCAAGGGAATGGCCTGAAGTTGTGTCAGGGGAGGTTTAGGTTGGATATTAGGAACAGGTTCTTCACCCAGAGAGTGGTTGGGCACTGGAACAGGCTCCCCAGAGAGGCAGTCACAGCACCAAGCCTGGCAGAGTTCAGAAAGTGTTGGAGAAGGCTCTTGGGCACAGGGTGTGATTCTTGTAATGCCCTATGCAGAGACAGGAATTGGTCTTTGGTGATCCTTGTGAGTCCCTTCCAATTCAGAGAATTAATAATTCTATGAAGTCTCTGCATAATGTTGTAACCTCCTCAGATAATCTTCCATATAATTTCATCATGATGGTGCTTTAATAAATATTAATATAGGTCTAATACTTTTTATCCACATTATACGTTGGTATTTAACACTTGTAAAGTGCTTTAGGATTCCCCAAAGGAAGGAACTACAGAAAAACATTAATTATTTTCTTCTAGAAGTATAAAAAGGTAAGGCTATCCTTGAGTCTGCAGTACTGTAGGATATGTGATCAGTGTATACAGCCCACAGCACAGGGAGAAATATTGACTCAGTTCTGAGAACTGAAGTGGTGCTTAGCACCTGAAGCTTATGGTCAGAAGTTTAAAAAACAAACAAAAAATATACCAACCTACAGCTAGTCCTTTACATTCAAACTTTCATTCCCAAGATAATAAAAAACCAAAACTTCACCTCCTGAAGGTATTGAGTTTATAGAAATATCCACCAGTTTTAGAAGGGACCTACAAAAAGCTCAGCAATTTTGAGAGAGCAGAGCAGTTTAATCATCAAAAAATGATGAGGGTACCTATTTAGTCTCTAACTAACTAAAAATCTCAACCTAGATTTGTCTAAGTACAAAATAATCTGATTATTTAGATGCTAGCTGATGAGAATTCCACTTTATGTGTATCACTTAGTCACTTGAACCACTACCAAGTGCCATAACTGAACTAACTACATAAACTTATTGCAGTAAATTGTACCCTTTCTTTCCCTATTCCCATGTTATAATTAGTTTGTGTAGCCTTCCTCAAAGCACACTGTAACCTCCTCACAGCAGAAACTTAATTTCTTCTTGAGAACTGTAAAAATACTTCAAATGCTGCAGAAATAACAAAATAACATAAATTCTTTTCCTAATTAGTTGCAATAATGTATAAAATGCCCTAGCTAACAGCAAATCAATACCGGTCAGAAATATTTGCAATTAAACCAGTCCTTTTCAGTTTGACAATTCCAAATCTCAGAGGCTACATCACCAGGTTTATGCAATTTCTTTTGCCACATAACACTGTCATCTAAGTTTATGGGTGCTTGATTCTTAAGCCTTTTTGTAAAAAGACAAGACTAAATAAAGTTGTATGCAACTCACTATATTCTGATCAATTCACTCAGTACTGCTTTAAAAAGAAAAATCTTACAACTCCTTAACCAGTGATCAGTTTGGCCCTTTTGCAGAAGAAGTAACAGATATCATATCTCCACAAGCTCTGCTACAAACTTATCTCAACTCTATAACTAAGATACTAATTCATTTTTCTGCCTTCTCTTTGTCAGATTTTAAGTCAGGATAGACCTCTAGACATTCCCTTAATTGCACACTACTGTTCTCCCCTTGCTGTTCTATCTTTCCAGCTTTCTCAACCTATTACATGTTCCAATATGACACAGATTTTACTTGTGTATTATGGAAAATAATACAGACCCAGATGCCTCATGCAGGAAGATACATAAATAGAGAATTAGTGTTTTTTAGATGGGTACAACTGTTTCACCTGCAGGAGCCAGTGTCTGCAATCTGTGCCATCCACTCTTCTGAGTGGAAAGCAATGAATGAGTTAAAATGAACAATGAATGATTTTACACAGAAACCACCAGGAATGCATATTCCTACTGGTTTGTCTTTTTGGCTACATTTGCCTTTTGAGAATATCAGTTGGTAAAACTGTTTAGAACTCAGACACAGTGAACAATATACTGGTCTAAACTGAACTGCTACAAATTCAGTGTGTAGATGGAATGCGTTACAGCTGCCTCAAGAAAAAGCTGTGCAGCTCAGCAAAATAGAAACTTAGGAGGGTTCCGGAGCTGAGATCTAGCAGATGTTTGGAATATAAAGGAAGTTCAATCCTTGAGAAAACAGACAACTTCAAAGATCAAGGGGCTGATTCTTCATAGCTATCCCTCTTCAGAAAGGGAAACACTGATCTTTCTGATAAAGATTTTGTATTAGTATCTCACTGCCTCAAAAATCCTTCCAACAGATTGAGACCTAGTAGTATTGTAACTGCAACTGGAATAATAGAGATTTAAATTTAGAAAAATAAATACAGTAGAAAATCTTCAGTTAACTACAGATTTACCGAAAAACAAACAAAAAACCAAACCAAACCAAAAAAACTCCAGCAAATAAATCCAACATTATTTTTCATGTATATGCCATCCAGCTTTTTTTTCCTCCCTCTCTCTGTTCCCAAACTCTGCAATGCCTCCTGAAGGCTGTCTGCCTGCTATCTTCACTGCCCACCTACCGTGGGGAGCAGCTCCTCCCACCTGCACATAAAAGCCAAGTGCATACTACCAGCAGCAGATCAGAGCACTTTCTCAGTCCTCTACTGTTTTCAGCCAGTGATCTTCTCTCCTTGGATCTTGTGTACTCAAGGTAAGATTACTGCTACTTCAGGTTTCTGTTCTACCCAGCTATTGTGAGGAAGTCTTAATGTGAACTCGAGCACGGCCTTGCTGGGTGGTGCTGGCTTCCCCCCCCCCCCCCCCCTTTTTTTTTTTTTTCAAATGTAGTGTCATCTGACATTTAAGTTAGTAACAGTCTGTTGTTTTAGCAGAGAAATAAAAACAGATCTTGCTGGGAAACACTGTGGCTGGGAAAAGGGCTTCTCTTCTTTTCTGATGGATTTTGAAGAGATTAGTATTCCCAGACCAATTATAGCGATTTATTATCCCTCTTAATACTCTTTTGCAGTCCAGTCAAGTTATGGGGAAAAAAATCACTGTAAAGCTTCCTTAAATTCTGTTTGAGGAAAAAAAAGTTGTTAGTGGTAATTTAAGGAAGGAACTGGGCTTTATTGCTAATATCATTGACTAGACAGATTGAGACAATTTTGGGACTGAAGTGCATCTTCACAGGTTTCATTGCCTTTGGAAAAGGTGTGATGGAACTTAAGCCCTCACAGAAGCACAGTAATAAGACTAATGGAATTCATTATCTTGTACCAAATATACTTACAGTAGATATTTTACAAGCAAAGTCATGTTTCTTGGAACAAGAGACCTTGTGTCTCTATGAAACTTTTAGATCAGCTTGTTTATATTTTTCTGCAGTTCTCCTACACAGGCATTTCTAGCATTAGAGGAAGGAATAGTTAAGTGCCTTAAAGACAGTTACTAAACAGTTAAAACATTTAAAAGTGGTTTCAAAACTATATTTGCATTCCCATCCATGCATCTGTCCATCCTCACAGAGATTAATCTATTAGTGACAAGTAGCAGTTTTTTACTTTGTGTGAGTCAGTGTACTTTTAGCACACACAGTCACCTGTTTAAAGAAATTCCATGAGAGAAATCCTAATCCTACAATGCCTCTCCCCAGTGCTCAAGAGAGAAGGGAAAGCATGAGCTGCCAGAACCAGCAGTTAATGCTATCTGTAAATGCAAAATACAGTCTTCAGTTAAATAGTGGTATTTTCTTCTTAATGTCTAATTCTCTTTCTAAACTCAGTCCTTTTTGGTCTTTCACAAATAGAAAGTTTTCTCTAGAAAAGAATTATGTCCATATATAACTGTATTCACGTTAGCTGCAATACTTTAAGTTACAGTACTGTATAACAGCAGAACTCTGCTCCAAGTAGCCTTTTCTGCATACTTTATCTAAGATTTTTTTCTGATTTTATATGTTATCTATTCTAACTACTGGGGAAAGAAAAACACTGCCTTCAGCTATTTGCCTGCAAGATTACATAAGTATCTTTTAAAAAACCCAAACAACAAAAATCCAAAACCCAAATAAATTGAACTATTCAGAAAACAAAGTACAGTGTTTTCTACAGCAAACTTACAGTAAAACTGTTTTTGCATCCAGGTAATTAATATAAATTGCCCATAGAAGACAGGAAGACAGCCCAGTGGTTTTCCTCATAACTAACATTAACTCTGAGCTACAAAATTTTATTTCTTAGTTAACATGTGATTTTTACAGCAAACCTCCCCTTTCCAAAAACATCCCTGTTGCAAAACACAGATATGTGATCTTAAGTTTAATACATACAGAATTTAGGTCTACAGTGAGGCAGTACAGCCTGATTTCTTCACACAGAGTTTTACTCCATCAGATAAATCAAAATTTTTAATAAAGCAAATTTCATGGGAAAAAAAATGCATTTGCCACAGGAAATGTGTACGTAGCAAAATACCTTTTATTAAAGCCTGCTGGGAAATGCAATATTTTGGCATTTGAAAAATGGATTGCAGGACATGTTAAGAAAACTTTATTCAAAGGCATGCATCTAATTTAGATCAGAATCTCCTCTGAGCAGTTTCTCTCAGGCTGAGTAGACAGTTCAGCTTAGCATCATTTTGCAGCAAGGGATGAAGGGAAACTTTGCACAGCAGATCTCCCAAGAGAACTCAGATGTCTAGGAATGCATTTATTGACCTCTGTGCTCATCTGAAACACCTTTTTACAAGATCAAAGCACGCTGATATTAAAATAAAAGTACTGTTTAAAGTAATGCTACAACCTGAATTAAGGAAAAAAAAAGGAAATCATTGGGAGAGCAAGGAATTCAGATTTTTTGAATAATGATCATAACATTTAAAAATAATAAAGGTAAAGAGACTATATTAATTTTTTCAGCCAAAGACCAGTTAAGTGTTAAGCAGGGATGCTAAGTCACTTCTATTGGCAGTTATGCTTAGTTTTTGAGGTGTTCATTTAGGGCAGTAATATCTACTTAATCCGCTAGTGTAACTCTCAGTGCTGTTTAAAGTGCTAGACTAGATACATAGAAACAGAGGATAAACATATCTCTCTCTGCTTATCTATGCGTACTTCTGCCACTGCTCGGGAGAAATTCTTACCTTCAGGAATTTATTTTCACACCTCTCTTTAGGGAGAGGTTATGTTTTCCTCTGGCCCTACTGTCACTAAATATATAAATTATTTTACTCAAGGTCACACTGAAAATTCATGGAAGAATGTCAGATTTAGCTCCTCTGATTTCCAGGACAGCACTAATCCCACACTTCATTTTGTATTCCACCCTATAAAGTCCACCCCTTTGTAGCTTCTCTGTCTTTGCGTGACTCCTTAGGGCTGAACATCAGGGAGAGTTCCAGTGACAAATTTTGAGAGAGGTAATTTACTCCTAACACTTTCAAAATTCCTGTGAAACCCTTTACAAACCCCTTTATAGGATTTACGAATAAATCTTTCTTGAAGGGTGTAAATAAACAATTAAATAAATAAGCAAATGCTCATCTCTTTCTTACACTCTGTGGTTAAAGGAGACCAGCCCAGTCTTGGCAGGCTGAGGAAGCAGAGATCCACTGCCATGGACAGAGAAATCCTAGACGACATCTGACTATAGAAATCAGCCTTGGTAACTCAGCAGCAGTAAAGAGCTCAAAGAGAAGCTCAGAGGGCTTAAGCAAAATTATTGAAAGGATCTTGTAGGGGACATTAAGATTAATCTTCCTTTCTCTTCTATAAACATATGGGATATCATTTCATACCCATTCAAACAAACAAGCAAGCAAACAGACAAGAACCAAAGCCCAAATGACCAGCTTTGTCCTATCCCTCAAGTTTTCAGCCCTTAAGTTAATTTATTAGTGTACAGATTCATAATTGCTCCTATGGCCTTGCAAATACTGAATTTCAAAAAAACCTCAAAGCCAACAAAACAAAACCAAAACTAAATAAACAGAAAAACACACCTCACCCAACAAATTCTAGTGCTCAATTTCCAGAGTTATTACCCTAGCAATAGAGGTCTTCTCTCTTACTCTCTTAGCTTAAAAATTACTGCTAAGCGTGCATTGTTTGTAGAGAAAGTTGTGAATATGTGACAGGTAACTGGAGGACTAGAAAAGGAACCATTAATAGTCATCTCACTATCTGCCACAGAAGGCAATTTTTATATATCTGTGAGCATATCTGCATGGCAGAATTTTCTGCCCCCTTATTCTGTATCTTGCTATGTATCTCAGGGGAGGTAAGATTAAGTTTTATCTGTGGATCTTAAATACATACCTATACTTTCCCTTACTTCTTTTGCCTTCCAGTTATTGTAGGCTGTATGTTCTTTCTTTCTACAGGGAGATAATTTTTAATTTACACTAATGTCATATTCCTAAAAGAGGAATGTTTTAGTGGAGGTAATGTAGTGAGGAACAAGACAATTAAAAACCATTAGAGGTGGTTTGTTCAGCCTGTTAAAAAAAAAGCAAACATCTGTACTTAACTGTACAAATTATCTTTATTTTTGCCAGTTACACTTTCTAGAGTTTTGTGTAAGTGTTGTTGCCTTTTTTGTGGCTTTCCCTCTGCAAACAGAAATCAGTTGTGGATATACATATATATATATATATATATATATATATATATATATATATATGTTCAGAAAGATTATGATGACTCCTGGTTCTGAAGCCTCATTGTGGGTCTTGAGCAATAAGTATGTGTATTCCCTGTAGTCACCAGCAAACAATAATGCTTGCTCTTCCTGCACTCCTGAGATGTTGGATGTGTTTCTGTAATTGTCTTGATGTGTAATGAATTTAATGTCTCATAATTGCACTGTAGGGAGTTAATACCACTATGAAGCCTTGGGACATGTTTAGGTGATCAAAATTTCATGCAAGTCCATATTGTATAGCAAAATCACGATAAATGTAAATTTGTCGCTTATGAATGGCAGATGAAACTGTATAGGGGTGACATGACATGGACCCTTTTCAGAATGTAGTGAGAATCAGTGGCCTCCCTTGGTTATAAAAAACACATAAAGCAGCCCTATGAGAGTGTTTATCACTTCCCTCTGCTGACTACAAAGCCCAGACCAGATGAGCAGCTGTGTTTGCAGAGGCGAAGGTCTGAAGTTCTATTCTCAGTGCTGTGAGCCAGTGGTAAGCTGATGACTGTGGTGTCTGTGCACATCTGTGGACATCATTCTTTATTGGGATCTCATCAACAACCACACTGAGTTCAACATGAGGGCACTCAAAAATAATGTGGACTGCCTGGTAGGTAAGAAATTTTCCACTTTGGATGTGGAAGCATGACTGCAGCTATGCCATTCATAATTCTACATAACCAGGGCATCCTTCTGTTCTGCATCTTATGCACACCTTGCTTTTTCCACCTCTTCAAGACAAATGCATGTCTGTGCTCATTACACTCATTTTAGAGACATCTGGGCAGTTAGCACAAATATTCTTGGCAATCCTGAAGTGTAACACTCCAAAGTGACAGCTTCTGAGAACTCTCACATTTGCAAGTAAGAAGTAAATGGTACCAAAAAGAGCACTCTAAGCGTAAAAAAAAAAACAAAAAAAAAAAACAAAACCAAACCAACAAAGCAAAACTAACAAAAACTGCACCACAAAACAAAATAGAAAAAGAACCTAACTACTTCCTTTCCATTC